CGGAGGCCACGGGCTGGCCCAGTGGCTCCGAGAAGCCCCGCCGGGGCCAAGACGGTGCAGTGTGCAGAGCTGCACCCAGCGACGGCGACAAGGGATCGCGGGAAGCGCGGGTCGGCGCGCACGATAAGGGTACGGAAAGAATGGGTAGAATGCCCAACAGCAGTTCCTGTTCATTTTGAACAGGACTCGCTGTCTGCGCCGCCGCGGCCGTGTCCGTTTGAGACAGGAGGCCGCCTGCCCAACAGCGGCCGCTGTTGGCTTGGGACAACACATGTCGTTGGGCATTGTACCCATTGTTTCCGTACCTATTTCGGGCGTCCAAAGCAGGCCCGTTGCCTCAACCAGCCCTCCGCGAACGGGCGGGCGGGCGGGCGGCGGGCGGCGGGCGGGCGGGCCGGGATTTGAATCAACCCTTTTAAGGACTATCTCCTGCAGCTGGAGCCTGCTGGGTCCAGGGGGTTGTGTGGCAGACGGTTGCTGTCAAGTACTGGGCGTTGTGTTGGAGACGGATGCTGTGGAGTATTGGGTGTGGTGGTAATCATGGAAGCACGGCGGACGGGCGGCGGCGGGGGCGGACGGCGGGCGGGCGGCGGGCGGCGGGCGGGGCGGAATTCGAATGGAAATCCTACGGGTTCTCGCTTGCAGCGGGATGTTGTTGAGTACTGGGTGCTGTGTTGGAGGCGCTTGCTGTTGAGTACTGGGCTGTGTGTTGGAGACAGATGCTGTGGAATACTAGGCGTGGTGGTGAACATGGAAGCACGGCGGATGGACGGCGGGCGGCGGCGGGCGCGGTCGGCGGGTGGAAGTGCAGCAGGGAAAAGGGAAGCCGAGGCGCGTCCTCCACGGAGCTGCCCGGGCCCTGCTGAATGGGCGCCTCCCCGCGCCCCCGCCAAAGCGGTTCGGGAAGAAGCGGCGCCGCCGAAAGAGAGGACCTGGGCCAAAGCGGCCGTTCACCGAGCCGCGGTCGCTGCTCCTCCCGGCGAGCGCCCCGTGCAACGCAGCGCAAAGCAATGGTCCTTCGGGGAGCTTCCTTCGGGAGTGGTCGTGGACCCCCAACACTTCGTGCATGGGTTTAGTCGCACGAGGGCGGCACCACCAGCAGAACGACGACCATAGAATTTGGCACGGCCCAATGTGTGTGGTAAGCACAAAGAAATGCGGATGCCACGCAAAGTACGCAGGGGGATCTGACATACATACATACATACATACATACATACATATATATATATATATATATATAATATATATATAATATATATATATATATATATATATATGTATATCCATATGTATATATGTGTATATAGATATACATGTGTAAGTGCGCGGGCCAGCGTGAGCCCCAAACGTTGGGCTATTACTACATATCTATATATATATACATACATACATACATACATACATATATATATATATATATATGGTAGCACCCCCCCAGCACCCCACCGATTCCTGTTTCTGAAAATCTTGTTCTGAAAACGTTGATGTGTTTGCTTTCAATGGTTTCGCTATTTCAAGGCGCGTTGCACTTGGAAATCCTGTGGAGGAGGATTACAATGAGATTCTTTCGAAGGGATCCCAATCGGATTTCTTTTAAAGCTGCGTTGGCCCTAGTGAAAGGACAAGGAAACAGAAAACCATCTAAAACACGAAATCAAACAAAAGCAAAGCGAAAACCAACAACATTAATAACCAAGGCGGAAAACCAACAAAACCAATGGTTTTCATTAGTATTCAGTTGAAACATTGAAAAACCATTGGTTTTCATTATTTGTCCGGCTGGAGTCAATGAAAAACATAAGTGTTCTTTCGTTTCTGCATGAAAACATTGAACAATCATTGGTTATCATTGATTTCCAATACAAAACGTTTGAAAACCAATGGTTTTTCAATGTTTCCATTAAAAAACAAAACAAAACCATGTGTTTCATTGATTTCCGTTTGAAACATATTGAAAAACAAATGTTTTTTCAATGTGTTCAATGGAAGATTATTGAAAACCATTGGTTTTGATATTTTCTTGCTTTGGTTATTAATTTTGTTGGTTGTCGCTTTGTTGTTGTTGTTGGATTTCGTGTTTTTGTTGTTTTTGTGTTCTTGCCCCTGGGCTTGCGGTTGCCCTGTTAGCAGCGGAGGAGGGTGAGAAACCAGAAAACCAACAAAAACACGAATTCCAACAAAAACAAAGCGAAAACCAACAAAAGTAATATCCAAGGCAGAAAAACCAACGAAACCAATGGTGTTCAATAGTTTTCAATTGAAAACATGTAAAAAAACACTAGTTTTCATTATTTCCCAAACTGAAATCAATGAAAATCATTGGCTGCTTTTAGTTTCTGAATGAAAACATTGGAAAACCATTGGGTTGCATTGTTTTCCTGCTGGAACCAATGAAAAAAAAAACAAGTGTTTTCTTCGATTTCTGAATGAAAACATTGAAAACCATTCGTTTTCATTGAGTTCCAATGCGACACGTTTGAAAACCAATTGCTTTTCA